GAAGACCTTTCTCTCTGTCTCTCTCTCTCTCACTGTCCACTCTGCCTGTCAAAAAATAAAAAAATAAATTAATTAAAAAAAAGAGGTAATGGTTTTTATTATAATTATTTTAAAATGCATCAGTGAGTAGTTTTAAGTGTCTCAGTTTTAATTTCTAACATGGTAACTGACAAATATAGGCCACACAAATTGATTTAGACACTATCCCTTGCCAGAGCTGTAACCTAAATTATGAAACATCTCGATCCTTTATTTTCCCAGTCCACTGAATGGGGATGATGTGAACCTCCCTGGGGTATGGATAAGATTAACTCAAAAGTGATGTTTTAAGTTTGTGGAAAAATAGGTACCCAATATACACACAGTTCCACTTCTTGCGTCACCCCAGGGACCAGAGCACCCTAAAGAGCCACATCTACACTTTACCTGGATTTGAGGCTCAGGAATCTGTGTCAATATGGCCAATTCTCTTCGGACAGTAATACCAGGATACTGGTCCTTTTCAAAGGCTCCAATAAGAATCTTGCATTGATCTTGATCAAACTTGGTCCTCCTGCACCTCTGGCCTCTGAGTGCTGGGACAGCCACAGTGTAAGAGAAAACACTCAAGAGGGGCCCAAGCAATTTCTTCTCCTAAGCTCAATGTAGGACCTGCAGCCTCCCAATGAGGGAGGAATCTGCAGCCCAGTGAGAAAGCTCAGGCCACTTTGCAGGGGTCTTGCCACGCTGCTGGAGACCTCTGCATAAACCCAAGGAAGAGCCCTAGAGTCTGCCCAGACTGTCTCCTTACCACACTATTGTGAGTTCCATGCATATCATAAATATATCACAAAGTCAGCATGCCTCACACAGGTTTGGGGACATCTGAAATGTGAATTGTGACCACAGCTTGTAGGCACTGATACTGATGTGTCAGTGACGGGCTGGCTATTCCAAGACACCTATTAACGTGCAGCCTGTTAACCTGTGGATTATGTCAAATCTATCAAGGCTTGTCCTTTGCTTGCCACCAAAATACAAATAGGAGGGTACTTCAAAAAGTTTGTGGAGGGGCTTGGATGTGGCACAGTAGGTTAAGCCACCTTTTACAAGGGCCTACATCCCATATAAGCGCTAATTCAAGTCACAGCTGCTCCTTTTCCAATCTAGCTCCCTGCTAATGCACCTAGGAAAGCAGCAGATGATGGCCAAAGTACTTGGACTCCTGTTACACTTTTGGGAGACCTGGATAGCATTCTGGGCTGCTGGCTTCTGCTGGCCCAGCCCCTCTCATTGCAGACATTCGGAGAGTGAGCCAGGGATGGAAGATGTCTTTCTCTTGCTCTCTCTCTCTTCTCTTCTCTATGTCACTCTGCCTTTCAAATAAATTAATAAAATCTTTTTTTTAAAAAAAGTTTGTGGAAAAATGGAATTAAAAGGTAAGTTTATTTTGGTTCTAAAAAATTTTGAAATCGATGCATAATGTTTTTACATGTGTATTTCATGACCTTTATGAAGACCCCTTTTTACATGGATTTCAAAAATTCTTTTGCACCAATATAAACTTGATTCTAATTTTTCCATGAGCTTTTCAGTGTCTTCATACTAAGAGAAACCAAAAACCAAAACCCAAGTAAGTTTCATGAGAGAAAAATCTGAAGTCAAAGAATTTCCACACATTAATGCTTGAATTTTCCCTTGTGAGCTGAGAAAGCCCCCAACCCTCGATTTTAGCGTGGCCCCCTAAGTCCATCGGAGTTGGTTAGACTCCCCATTGACTTGGGAGTAAGCTCAAAACAGAATTTAGTATGAGGAAGAAAACAGACAAAATACAAGATCTAGGCAAAACTCTAGCCTCTGCCCAGGCTGACCTCCTGCTCTTCACAGCCATTCAGAGCCCCCAGGAGCATTTTCCCTTTTCTGGGCGACTGCATTGAAACGCTCCCATCACTCATGCCCTCTTCCTCCTCCCGAATGTCTGCAAGGTGGCTTCCAGGTTCCCCTTGGTCTTTTAGCCTATATGTGTTAAGCTGAGTAAAGTAAGCTTGAAGGCAGCCACACCAGGTGGGACGTGCTGCCTACAACACATTATCAAAGAGAGGCGTCTGGGATCCCCAGCTCCTCCCACTGCCCACCCCAGAAAGGAGCCTGCAGTCCTTGGAAGGAACTCACGGTCTGAAGCCGTGGTTAGCAGAGAGCTTGCCCACGGGAGTGGGAACAGATGGTGGGAGACCTGGAGGAAGCTCCTGGCTCCTGGTTTCGGACCGGCCTAGCTCTGGCCATTGTGACTGACCATTTGGGTAGTGAACCAGCTACTATTTTTGACTTACATTTTAAAAACCAGAATATATATTTTTCTGCAAAGGGAAATGAATTCATATGTTACATATGTCCTCATATTTTTAAAGCATTATAAATACACAGAAAAGTGCCAAGTCATAAGTTTGTCACTGCTGCCAGATTCTCAAACCCCCTCATGCCCTTTCCAGACACTTCCTGAGGCTTACTGTGTTTCTGTTTTCTTACACCGAAGATTAATTTTTTTATATATAAATAATACAATATACATTCTTTTTGCCCAGTTTCTCCACTCATTATTGTGTTTTCAGATTTATCTATGTTGTCAGCAGTAGTGACACTTCATTCATTCTTATTTCTGTTTAAAACTCCATCAGGTAAGCACTGCACAATTTATTCATTCTTTGTGGACTGTTTCCAGGTTTGTGTTATTTAAAAGAGCCCTATGCTATACAAGAATTCTTGTGTGTCTCTGGTGAACATACACTTTGGTCAACATTGCATCACGTATACTATGGTGGTTTCACAAGTTGATAGTAATGTCATAGCCATCTTAGTTTGTGTAAGTAAATTCTATGATGATGTTCACATAATGACAAAATCATCTAAATATGCATTTCTCAGAATTTATCCCATCACTAAGCAACACTTGACTGTATATATGAATACTTTTCTTCTTCCTCTTCCTCCTCCCCCTCCTTTTCTTCTTCTTTATACAGTCTGTCAAGTTAAAATCTCAGGAGTAGAACTAGGCCATAGGGTGCATTTATATATGTATATATGCTAATATACACACATACATACATATAATAGTACTTCAAAATTTCATGGAAAAATTCCTATTATGAAAAACTATACATGGATTTAAATTAAAAAAAATATTTATTTAAAAGACAGAGTTACAGAGTGAGAGGGAGATCTTTCATCTGTTAGTTCACTCCCCAAATTTGGCCACAATGGCCAGGGCTAGGCCATGACAAAGCCAGGAGCCTGGAATTGCATCCCGGTCTCCCACACTGGTGGCAGGGACCCAGGCACTTGGGGCATCTTCTGCTGTTTTCCCAGATATATTTAGCAGGGAACTGGATAGGAAGTGGAGTGGCTGGGACAAAAACCAGCACTCATATGGGATGCCAGCATCACAGGTGGCAGCTTAACCCGCTATGTCACAATGCTGGCCCATACTGCTTGTTTTCTAAGAGTTCCTTACAAATTCTTTGTCAGATATATGGTTACAGTTTTCTTCTTCTTCACCATCGCTTTCCTGCTCACATTCTAATGGCATATTTTGATGAATAAATGTTCTCACTATACAGGGCCAGTGCTGTGGGTTACGCCCCAGCCTGCAATGCCATGTCCCAGCTGCTGCACTTCCAATCCAACATGGGAAACCTTGGAAGAGGCCCAAGTGCTTGGGCCCCTGCACTCATATGGGAGACCTGGATGAAGCTCCTGGCTCCAGGCTTCTGTCTGGCCCAGCCCCGGCTATTTTGCAGCCATTTGAGGGGAATGGACCAGTAGATGGAAGATCTCTCTCCGTCTTTGTGTCTCCTTCTCTCTCTCTGTAACTCTGCCTTTCAAATAAAAAAATAATAAAATGAATCTTTAAAAAAATGTTCTGACTATTGATGAAGTCCAATTTCCCTTATAGTGTTTCATTTCCCTTATAGTGTTTCTGGTAACTTAAGAAACTCCATCTACCTAATCCAAAGCATATAAGTAAGATGCTGTTTTCTTTAAAAAGCTTCATTATTTACCTTTCCTGTTTAGCTCTGCAGTCCATCTGGAGTTGGTTTTGGCTTTGCGATGGTATGAAATCTGGATCAATATCCAGCCCCTGCCCCATGTTATTTTCTGAAAACCATCCTTTTCCCATTCTACTACCGTATCTATCTTCATAATTAAAATATTTTTAAAAAAGTTTATTTATTTCAGAGGCAGAGAGAGAAGAGAGTGAGAGTGAGCGAGCGAGAGATCTTCCACCTCCTTACTCCCCAAATGCCTGCAAGAGGGGGCTACACCAGGTGGAAGCCAGGAGCTCCCATCTCAGTGTGAGTCTCCCAGGTGGGTGGCAGGGGCCCAAGTACTCGAGCCATTAACTGCTGCCTCCCACAGTGCACATTAGCAGGAAGCTGGAAGCGGGAGCAGAGCCGGGACTCGAACCCAGGCACTTTGACATGGGATGCAGGCATGCCGCGTGATTTCTTAACTGCTGCACTAAATGCACACCCCAATTCATATTCTTTCTTGCTTTTGTTATGCAGTCGGTGGCACTCTATTTATCAGGTCCTGCAGCCTGCCGCCTTTACTTAACAATTTTAGCAACTTCCCATCCCTGTACATAAAAAAAAAATTTCACTCATCTGTAAACCCACATTATATTGCATTGGCGAGGTGGGAAACAGTGGATGCATTTTGCATTTGTCTTACTGTGTGTAATAATGTTGAGCGTCTTTCCATAGAGGCGTCTTGTGTTTTCGGTCCTTTCAGGGTCAGAGTCCGCCCTCTGAAAGGTATGAGTTCACGGCGCTGATGGACCATGGTCCAGACAGGAAGCGCTCACCTCCCCACGCCGCAGGCCGAGCCCGCCTGCCGTCACCACGGGCAGAAAGACATGCCTGTGGCGGAGACCCGCAACACGCGTGCTACAGGCCGGTAGCCTCCGGCGTGCGGGGTGAGACACCCACCCCGCCCCCTCGCCTGGCGGCCCCGCCCCTCCTCGCAGCCCCGCCCCGCCCCGTCACGTGACGCGGGGCCGGCGGCCATTGCTCCGCGGCCTGGCGCTGGGCAGTTCTCCGGGCTTGGGTGACCTAATGCGGGGTTAAGCCGCCCTGCTGCGGGACAGCGGAGAGAAAGGAAAGACAGTCGGGCCTAGGACGGAGAGCGTCCCTGACTGGGGCCGCCTAGGTCCCCGGTGGCAGGCTCGGGGGCCCGCCGCGGTGTTGCTAGGCGACCGCGTCGGGCTCGGAGCGGCTGGCCGGGCTGGGAGCCTGGGCGCCCATGGACCAGTACTGCATCCTGGGCCGCATCGGCGAGGGCGCCCATGGCATCGTCTTCAAGGCCAAGCACGTGGAGGTGAGAACGGGTGCCCCCCTGCTCGGATCGCGTCGGGGGGCGGTGCCCGGCCTGTGTTCGGACAGGTTGTGGGCGCGGCGCCCGCGCCACCCGTCCTCTGGCCCCGGCTTGAGCCCCGGCGTGGCTCCCGTTTACCCGGCTAACGAAGCCTCCCCGTCTCACACCTGTCTCTCGCCCTGCCTGCCTCCGTCCCGGGGTCGGGCTGGCAGTGTCCGCGCTCTTTCCTGTGCAGACTGGCGAGATCGTCGCCCTCAAGAAGGTGGCGCTGCGTCGGCTGGAGGATGGCATCCCCAACCAGGCGCTGCGGGAGATCAAGGCTCTGCAGGAGATCGAGGACAATCAGTATGTAAGTGGGGGCCCGGCCTGGCGGAGCGGGGCGTCGGGGCGTCGGCGGGCATCGCCTTCGCTTCCTGTCTCCCTCATCCCCACTCTCTCCTGCCTTCACTCACTCACCCCTTCAAACGCCTCCAGGATTCCCTCTGTGCGCTCCTCACTCCGCCCTTTCGTCTGCCTCCTCCGTATCCCTTAGTTAGGCCGTTTGTGTCTGCTTGTTCACCCTCGTTCATCCAATTCCTCACTCATTTACTTTCTGGTTTAGCACCTAGTTCTTTATGATCTCATTTTCTTATTCTCCTTCTCGAAGCATTTAGTGATTTCTGATGGGGATAGAAAGCGCTCGCTGAGCTCATGTGTCCTGCAGGCTGTGCCGAGGGCTTGACACCACTGTGGTCCGGAGCCCTCTGCCCCTGTGCGTGGTGTGTTTCAGAATGTGTTTCTCAGGCAGTGGGAGGAGGTTAGGTCACCTGCTCTTAGGCCCACAGCTGCTCAGTGGAGTCCAGACATTCAGCCCTTGTGGCCTCCTGTATGTAGCAGGCTCTTTCCTGGGTTTGTTCTGATGGTTCAGAGAGGAGCTGGCCCAACCCAGCTCCTAGGAACTTAAGTGTGGTGTCGGGGGTGACGGGATCCGTCTGATGCGGTTTGTGCTGTGACAAGTTGCCAGGAAGAGTTATGGCAGTGAGAGGGACCTCTCACACCCCCAGCGTCATTACTCTCTATGGTCCTCTCTTAATCTATGTTGGAGTACAGAGCTGGTCTCCTGCCAAGTGACAGAGTCTCTGTGGTCGCGTGACTTGTGTTCATTGTCTTCTGGAGATGTCCATGATACACTGGGCGATAAAAGGATGTTCTAAAGCTTTCTGTGTCATCCTTGTTTTGTATGAAAACACTTACCTGTGTGTATATGTGTGTGCCTACCTACTGTAAAGTCTGGTAGAGTGTACTCCAAGATGGACTGCAGGTACTTGAGTTTTTCTTTCCCTTATAATTTTGTGTACTGTCTGTGTGCATGTGTTTTGATCTGTGAAATGAATATGTACTACCAGAAAAGCAGCAATACAGCCATTCTAATTTTTCAGGCAAAACAAAAGAACTTGCAGACAGCTGATTTTGGGAGAGAGAGCTCCATAAGGAGGGCAGTGATGTGGTCCCTGTGCCCAGTGGTCAGCATTCCTGAAGGTTCTTTAAAACATGCTCTGGATTGGTTCCTGGCCTGGATCACCCTCACCACTCACCAGAAAGATTGCACCAACCTGTAGATTGCTCCCCAGGCGAGAGTTCAGAGGGTTCTGTCCAGAATGGAAATTGAATCGTCCTCTCCCCGCTTAGAGAACCCCAGGGGCTTCTCTTCACATTTGGGGCAGAGTCGCTTTGTGCCCATCTCCAGCCACTGTCCCTGTTCAGTCCTATCCTAGAGCTTCCTAGGCACAGAGCGGAGCAGACCCATTTCTTCCCCCAGACCACCTCCAGTGTCCATGTCCCTCCCCGTCCTGCGCCCACTGAGGTCTTGCACCTGGTGTCCCACTGCCCACTGCTTTTTCCCAGTTCTCTGCGTAACTGGCTCCCTGAGGAGCCCCTCCCTGCCCCTGCCCCATGTAAATAAGGAATCCTTTTCTCCAGTTGAAGAATTACACCACCTTAGTATACAAGAAGTCTTCAGAGAGTTCTTGAAAAGGTACATGTTGTGAAAAAACTAGATTTCAAACATTTTTTGTACTAAACTTTTTAAAATTCTATTTCCCACAGACTTTTGGGAATTACCTTCATATGTCTGTCTTGTGTGTATCAGCCCTGAACATATCCCTTTGTTTATTTATCAACCGCTTAGCACACTTGGCACCCTTGGCACTTTGTTAGTCCTGTCTTCTGATTCCCTGGACTCACTGGTAGCCTCAGGGCGTGTGATGTGTCTTTAGCTCTCCCAGCACTGGGCAGGTGTGAATCTTGGCACCCTGCCCTTGGTGCTTGCATTTAATGGCTGCCAAGGAAACAGGAAGAACTCTGCTTGTGCCGTGTGTATGTCCAGGTGGGTGGGTGGGGATGCTGCCCATCAAGTAACCTTCTACAGACCTTTTCCCTGGGTGTCCCAGGAGCATGGGGTTCCCTGAGTGTCCCAGGAGCATGGGGTGGGGACCTGTGTTGGCTCAGGAGGGCAGAGCAGCATGAGCGCTAAGCATCCTGGTTCTGAGGTCAGGTCACGTGTTGCCATCTCTGCCCGCAGAGGGGGTTTACAGGATGCCTGCCCACAGGTGGTGCAGCTGAAGGCCGTGTTCCCGCATGGTGCAGGCTTCGTGCTGGCCTTTGAGTTCATGCTGTCGGATCTGGCCGAGGTGGTGCGCCATGCCCAGAGGCCGCTGGCCCCCGCACAAGTCAAGAGCTATCTGCAGATGCTGCTCAAGGGCGTCGCCTTCTGCCATGCCAACAACATCGTGCATCGGGTCAGTCCCAGCATGGGCCGGGCTGGGCTAGTCCTTATAAGGCTGTGGTCAGAAGGGGACAGAGGGTCCCAGGGCCTTCAGGTGAGCATCAAGGGTCTGAGCTGACCTAGGCCCTCATCCCCAGGCATTAAGAGACTGGTGCCTCCTTTTATACCCCCAGGACCTGAAACCTGCTAACCTGCTCATCAGTGCCTCAGGCCAGCTCAAGATTGCGGACTTTGGGCTGGCCCGGGTCTTTTCTCCAGATGGCAGCCGCCTCTACACACACCAGGTGGCCACCAGGTAGGGGCAGCAGATCCCCTGCCCTCCCTTGGGGGAAGAGATGCTCTGGTTTCCTTGCCCGACATTGCTTGTGGGTTCAGATGGGGCTTGGGTGACCTAGGACAGCCTCCCATCTGACTGGTGGCCTGGCTCTGACCTCCAGCTCTCTTCCTCCCAGGTGGTACCGAGCACCGGAGCTCCTGTATGGTGCCCGCCAGTATGATCAGGGTGTTGACCTGTGGTGAGACTCCCATGCCAGGCAAGGGGCACCGTGGTCGTAGCCTCCTGCCAGGCTCTGGTGTCCTCTCCGTTGTGAGCTCCAGATTGCCTGGCAGGACTGGGATCTGCCCTCATTAGGGTTTTGGAGCAGCCTGGGGTTGGGAGGGAGGAAAGTGGTTGTCCCAGAGGGCAGCCTCTTGTCTGGCTGGTGTGTGTAGGACTAAGACCCAAGCATGTGACCTTGCCCATCTAGTCCAACGCCTGTGTCCCAGGGTGTGAAGTCCCTGAGCCTTCTTGGGGAGCAGATGGTGGTGGTACCCCGGCATCTGAGATTCAGAGCTGTTTTGTAGATTTGCTGTGGAAAGAGGAGTGTGTGTGTGTGTGTGTGTGTGTGTCCCAGAGCATGAGGCTCTGAGAGGTCTCAGGGCTGTTGGGGTTTGCTTTGTGTTCTAGGGTTGAGGTTCTTGATTGGGAGTCTGCACCTGTGGACATGAAGCCCTGGTGTGCAGTGCTGGAGCTGGTCTGGAGGTCTGTCCCATGGCGTGAGATCTGCTCGGTGTTCTGTATCCGCAGGGCTGTAGGCTGCATCATGGGGGAGCTGTTGAACGGGTCCCCTCTCTTCCCGGGTGAGAACGACATTGAACAGCTTTGCTGCGTGCTTCGCATCTTGGGCACCCCCAGCCCTCAAGTCTGGCCGGTTTGTAGGGGCCCCTGGTGGGGAGGGTTTGGGGGCAGATTTGCTCCAGTCCACAACAGCAAGTAACTGCTCCCTGCCCTGCACCTTCTCTCTCATGACCCCAGCCTCCCTTGACCAACAGGGACCACTGTCTAGGCCCAGTGCCAGGGTCCCCCCTCCTGTCCTGCCCACCTGGCATACACAGCACCTCAGCAAGCTGGGCCTGGGGCAGATGCCCAGGAGGGTCAGGGAGCGTGAGTGGATGATGGGGGGGCCGGGTGGATGAGAGAGCAGACAGCGAGGCCCTGAGACCTGGTACTGAGCAGTGAGGGCAGCACGGGCTCTCAGGTGCTCCCTCCTCTTTGCGTCTCAGGAGATTACGGAGCTGCCCGACTACAACAAGATCTCCTTCAAGGAGCAGGCACCTGTGCCCCTGGAGGAGGTGCTGCCGGATGCGTCTCCTCAGGCCTTGGACCTGCTGGGTCAGTTCCTGCTGTACCCGCCTCGCCAGCGCATCCCGGCCTCCCAGGTAGGCTGGAGGCCCTGGGCTGCTCCATCAGCTCCCTGTTGACCTGACTCTGCACTTGGTAGCCGTGGTTCCCCAAGTCAGCACCCTTTAGAACCTATTGTACATGGGTATACCCAGGACAGGGGCCCCAGGCCAGTGTGCCTCTCATGAGCAGAGCCCGCTGGACACCCCCAGCAGGAGAGAGAGTGACCTGTTGGAGGGTGCATGCCTGTCCGCAGGGAAGTGCACGTCTGGTGTGCGGGGTTCCAGGCTGCCCTGAGCCTTGAGCCACGCGGCAGGCGTAGCCGAGTCACTGAGGGCTCGCGTGCTCTCTCCTCAGCAGCATTCACTCAGCTCTAGCGTGTGCCGGGCATCGTAACAGCAGCCCTGCATCTGGGGCTCCAGGCAGGCAGGAGTGTGGTAGCCCCAGGTGCAGGGCGGGCCAAGGCAACCTGCCTGACAGGTGAGGTTTAAGCTTGAAGAGGGGTTTGCTGAAGCGGGAAATGGTGAGCAGTGGCCTAGAGGGTAAGGACCCCGAAAGCTGGTTGTGACTAGAAGGCAGGGAAGGGTGGTGAGCACCGAGGAGCCCTCCCTGGAGGGTGTCAGGGCCTAGCTGTCAGGCAGACGGGACCTGCGGGCCTGCTGGCCTCTCATTGCCTCTGCTGCTGGCACCAGCAGCCCGTGCTTGTGCATACCCTGGGGGGGTCCCCACTTGTGGCAGCGCCTGTGGGCTCTGTTCGCCTCTCTGCGCAGTTGCCTCCCAGAATCTGCATCCCTCCTCGTCCCCTGTACTCTCTCTTCCACCTGGCAGAGGAGTGACCTTGACTGAGCAGAGCAAGTCACACCCCGTCCTGTGCCAGGCCCTGCTGTGGCTCCACCTCACTCGCAGGGAAAGCCAGGGTCCCCCTCATGACCCACAGGTGTTGCAGCCTCAGGCGCAGTCACCTCTGGACCTTGCCCACTCTTGTTCCCTGTGCTGATTCCTCTCCAGCCCCAGGATTGCTTCCATGTCCTAGAACACATCAGGATGCTGCCCTGGGGTCCGTGGACATCTGTTCCTAGCCTGCAGCACTCCGATCAGGCCCTCCTGTGCCCCTCTCCCCCGCCCTGGCTCACCTCGCAGGCCTTTGCTCACTCGCCTCGTGGGAGGCCGTCACTGCTCAGCAGCCTGCAGCCTCCCCAGCCCTTGTTCCCTTTCCCATAGCACTGATCCTTTTCTGGTGTACCATGCATGTTACTCGATCTTATTTATTACCCCCCCCCCCCATTCTATCCATGAGCCCGAGTTTTTGTCTGTTTTGCTCATTGCTGTGCCCAGGCTCTAGAATGGTGTTTAGACGTAGCAGTTAACTTAGCAAGGTTTGCTGCGTCACCTGAATGCATGGGTCAGCCCCTTGCCCTTGGCTTGAGGCTGCGGACAAGGCAATAATGGTTTTCTTCTGGTGTTCCTTCTTGCTTCCCCCAGGCCCTCCTGCATCAATACTTCTTCACAGCTCCCCTGCCTGCCCACCCATCTGAGCTGCCCATTCCCCAGCGCCCAGGAGGACCTGCCCCAAAGGCCCACCCAGGGCCTCCTCATGTCCATGAGTTCCACGTGGACCAGCCTCTTGAGGAGTCACTGCTGAACCCAGAGGTGATCCGGCCCTTCATCCCAGAAGGGTAAGATGCTGGCCCAGGTCCTACTCACCTGCCTCCAAGGATCACGCAGGCTGTTTGTCCTCAGCTTCCTGCCAGACAGCCTTCCAAGGACTCTCGCAGCCACACTGGGCCGCTCTCGTCATGTGCTGCTTCTTAGCCTTGTAAGGTTTGGTCTCAAAGAGGCCATGCTCCTGGCCAAGGCGATGAGGATGTCCAGCTCAGCCGAGGAGACCTGTGGCCCCTGCTCTGTGGCCCTCACATCTGCGTGCTGCCGACTTCAGCAACACAAACAGCGAGCTGCACCTGCTGTCCAGGACTACCACATAGAGTGGCGACACCTGCCTGGGTGCAGGTGCCCAGGGCACTGCCTCCTGATCAAGAATCATCCAGGGAAAGAAAAGAAATGTCCTCATCCTGAAAACTCAAGTGGGATGAAGTTTGGGTTTGGCTTTGTTCTCAGGACATTAAACATCCTAGTTCAGTATTTGGGATTTATTATGAAAGCCTTAAGCGGCTCTGGCTCTGTCTGTGTCTGCTCCTATCAAGGGAAATGGCATCGTTTAATGGCCCTTGTTTTCTGGGGGATCACTGGGAAGTAACTGACCATAGTTACTTCTTCCCTGAGGGCTTCCTGTGGGCAGCACTTGTCTGAGTGTTTATTTGCACGTGAGGTGGACAGAAGTTCAAGCCCAGGATGGGCAAGTGGGGGATGCAGCCACAGCCACCTGCATCTCCCTTGGGGTGAGGCTGAGCCAAATGCAGCTATGCAAATGAAGAAACTGGCATTCCTGGAATTTACTTACTCAGCAAATCCCAATACAATATGTGCTACCTCTGTTTTTTTCTTATTTCATAATTATTTGATAAGATGATTCTAAAAAAATAAATGGAGGGACTGGCGCTGTGGTGTAGTGGGCTAAGCCTCCACCTGCAGTGCTGCCATCACATATGGATGCTGGTTTGTGCCCTGGCTGCGTCTCTTCCAATCCAGCTCTCTGCTGTGGCCCGGGAAAGCAGCAGAAGATGGCCCAAGGACTTGGGCCCCTGCACCTGCGTGGGAGACCCGGAAGAAGTTCCTGGTTCCTGGCCTCCAATGGGCACAGCTTTGGCCGTTGCACCAATGGATGGAAGACCTTTCTCTCTGTCTCTCCCTCTCTCTGTAACTCTACCTCTCAAAATAAATGAATAAAATCTTTTTAAAAAATGGAAATGCAGAGAGCTAAGAGGAGGAAGCAGAGGGGAGATGTGGAAAGGACTTACCAACCAGGTGTCAAAACGTAGTACAAGGTTATGTAAGGACTAAGAAGGTGTGGATTAGTTCAGGGATAAAAGCAGACCAGAGAAATTTAATCTCAGCGAGTCTGTCTTCTTAAAGTGTTTGTTTTATGCTTCACATCTGTTGACTCCTCTGTGAGCACTGGAGATGACTGACACTAGGGTAGCCACTGGCCTCAGCATTCAGCGGGAAGCTGTTGCTTTCAGGAGAGTCCAGCGTCTTCACAGTCTGGCCCCTGTTCATCTCTCCGCCTGTCTTCTGCAGACTGTAAACTATGGTGGGTAGAGATACCAGCCTGCTCAATGCAGGGTGATGTCCAGAGTCAGTGCCAAGAATAGGAAAAGACGAGGGTGGGACCCAGGGTCAGTGCCAAGGTTAACAGAGCCCAAGGAGGACGAGAGTCGGGCTCGGGTGAGAAGGACCCTGAGAGTCACCGTGAAGGTCAGGTGAGGATGGGGCTGAAGTGAGGAGCAGAGGGCTAGGCTCAAGTTCAGGTGAGTGACAGTGAGGCAGTGAGGGCCAATATAGGAGCCAGGGCCAGTTCTGTGGTCGAGGGAAAAGACCTGGGATAGGTATTGGTATGGGTCAGGATTATGGGCAAGGCATGAGCAGAACCAAAGCCAGAGCATAAAGGCTGATTGTAGGGAGATGGGTCATTGAGGGTTAGAACCAGGGCCAGGATGTGGTCAAGGCTACAGTGGAAGCCAGGGCCAGGGGAACGGCAGAGTGCACTGAAGGCTCACTTGCTGGTAGGAACAAGAAAGCTAAGAGGGCACATGTGGTAAGGTCAGGGCAAGACAGGGCAAGCCTGGGACCTGTGCTGTGGCACAGCGGGTTGAAGCCCTGGCCTGAAGTGCCAGCAATCCATGTGGGTGCTGGTTCGAGACCTGGCTGCTCCACTTCTGATCCAGCTCTCTGCTGTGGTCTGGGAAAGCAGTGGAGGATGGCCCAGGTCCTTGGGCCCCTGCACCCATGTGGGGGACCCGGAGGAAGCTCCTCCTCTTCGGATCGGTGGCCAATTGGGGAATGAATCAGCGGATGGAAGATTCTCTCTCTCTCTCTCTCTCTGTCCTCTCTCTCTCTCCTTCTCCCTCTCCTCTGTGTAACTCTGACTTTCAAAAAAAAAAAAAAAAAAAAAACAAACAGGGTCAGGACGCGGTCACTGGGTGGGTGAGGTCCAGGGGAAAGGCCTCAAGCACGATCTAGGTGAGGGCAGGTGCAAGTGCAGAGAGGAACAGGGGTTGGGTTAGAGGAGGGTCAGTGTCGGAAGAGGGGGTGGGGGCAGCGGAGGGTCCGGCAGAGTAAGGCTGGGGTGGCAGCGCTTCAGGCTGCGAGGCTGTGACGCAGGCCTGGGGGCGGAAGCAGGCGCGCGGCGGGGTGGGCGTGGCTTAGCCGAGCGGGGCGGAGCCGAGGCGCGTGCCGGCCGAGGCGCGGCTGGGAACGGACGAATTGCTGGACGCCCGGGACCTGCTGTGTGCGGCGCAGGTGGACGAGGTGACCCGGTGTGCCCTGGGCGGGTCCAGGGCGGGAGCTTCTCCGCGTCTGCAGTGGCCCGTCCGTCCGTGAGGTAGCGCCGTCCGTGAGGTAGCGGCGTCCGTGGCGCGCCGGAGGCGCTCGTGGTCCGCGGGCGGGGACCGCGCCGCCTCGGGAGTTCGGAGAGTTCCTCGGACAAGACCGGCTCCCCGCCTGAGGGTGGCCGAGGGAGCCTTGTACCTTCACTTTCACGCACTGTTCTGGGACCCCACCCCGGGAGCTTGGCTGTCCCCGCTCTCTGGCGGTGGCGCCCGGCTGCGGTCCGAGGTGGTCCTACGGGGTCGTCTGGGACCCCACCCCGGGACCTTGGCTGTCCCCGCTCTCTGGCGGTGGCGCCCGGCTGCGGTCCGAGGTGGTCCTACGGGGTAGTCCGGGACCCCCACCCCGGGAGCTTGGCTGTCCCCGCTCTCTGGCGGTGGCGCCCAGCTGCGGTCCGAGGTGGTCCTACGGGGTCGTCTGGGACCCCACCCCGGGAGCTTGGCTGTCCCCGCTCTCTGGCGGTGGCGCCCGGCTGCGGTCTGAGGTGGTCCTACGGGTCGTCGCAGCCCGCGCTCCTCCCCGGCCTTGGCCGTGCTCCCGAGACACCTGCTGAGGGACCTGTCTAGGCCGCCGGGTCCGCACTCCAGCCTGAGTCCCGGGCGCTCAGCGTGGCTGTCCTAAGTGCCTGTATCAGGCAGGTGCTTTGTTTTTCCCTGTCGGGAGGGATTTTGTTTTGCGTCCCTCTGTCTAGCACAGTGTGTGCTTTACACGGGGCGCTGTGTGCTTGGACGCTTGGCGTCCCCTCAGTAAATATTTGCCGTGTAAATGGATTTCCCCAAAGAACTTAAAAATATTTTATTATACGCTCTTGCAAAAAGATGAATAAACAGCTCTCACATGAGTAATTTCTTTAAATGCGTACAGTAAAATACTAGATTTTCATTCCCATTTTTACGGATAAGGAATAGCACGGTGTTTTGCCTGAGGTGTGCCACGGAGTCACACACAAGGCTGGAATGGGATCCCTGGCTGTTTTCTCAGCAGTGGGCTAGGGGCAAGTTAGGGAAGAATTTGAAAGGGAGATGCCTCATACCCTTTGGCAGCACCAACTTTTCATGCTCATCGTTGCCTCCTAGGTTTCATGAGGCCAGTAACCCCTGTCTCTCAATTTCCTTGTGAAGGCAAGGGGCTAACAAAAGGATTCTCACAGGTGGTTAGCGTTTATTTTTCAAGGTATAGTACATACTGCAATTCTCTATTAGAGAAACATGAGGGCATTTCACAAAGTTCCTGGAAAATTTGTGTTATGAAAAACACTGCATGAATTTCAAACTTTTTCGCACCAAAATAAACTTTTTTGTATATTCTGATTTTTTTTAAAAAAAGGATTTATTTTATTTATTTGAAAGGTAGAGTTTCAGAGAATCTTCCACCCACTGGTTCACTCCCCAAATGGCCACAACAGCCAGGGCTGTGCCAGGAGCTTTTTCCAGGTTTCCCACGTGGGTGCAGGTATCCAGGCACCTGGGCTGTCCTCCACTGCTTTCCCAGGCGCATTATCAGGGAGCTGGATCAAAAGTGTTGTAACTGAGACTTGAACTGGCATCCAAATGGGACACTGGCCCTGCAGGCGGCAGCTCATCCCACTACGCCACAACACCGGCCCCTCAAAATGAACTTTTAATTCCTTTTTTTCCCCACTGACTTTTTAAAGTACCATCATGAGACAGTACTTGGGTTTTGTTTAAAACATTTTAAAAAATTATTTTTTTAAAGATTTATTTATTTGGAAGGCAGAGTTACACAGAGAGAGAGATACAGAAGAAAGAGAGAGTTCCTCCATCTACTGGTTAACTCCCCAATTGGCCAGAACAACTGGGCCTGGACCAGTCAGGAGCCAGGAGCCAGGAGCTTCTTCAAGGTTTCTCATGTGGGTGCAGGGGTCCAAGGACTTCACCCATCCTCTGCTGCTTTCCCAGGTGCATTGCAGGGAGCTGGATTGAAAGTGGAGCAGTGGGGACTCAATCAATCATCACTAGCCCCTAAAAATTATTTTTAAAAAATTAAAAAAAAATTATTTAAAAAAAATATCCAAAGGGCTGGTGTTGTGCTGCAGCAGATTAAACAGCTGGCTACAATACCAGTATCCCATGTGAGCTCCAGTTTGAGTCCCAGCTGCTGTATTTCTGTACAACTCCCTGCTAATGCGCCTGGGAAAGCAGCAGAAGATGGCCTGAGTATTGGGACCCATTGCCACCAACGCATGAGACCCAGATGGAGTTCCTGGTTCCTGGCTTGTTGTGGCCATTTGAGGAGTGAACCAGCAGATGGAAGATCAATCTGTCTGTAACTTCGTCTTTTAAATAAATCTTTAAATATATATGTATATTATGTGTGTGTGTGTGTGTGTATGTATGGCCGCAACCGCCAGAGCTGGGCCAATTCAAAGCCAGGAGCCAGGAGCTTCATCTGGGTCCCCCATGTGGGTGCAGGGGCCCAGTGTTCTCTTGGACTTGGGCCATCTTCTAAACACTCACACACACACACACAAACATACACGTATATTCAAAAGGCAGAGTAGAGTGCAAGAGATCTTCCAGCTGCTGGTTCACTCCTAAATGCCCATAACTCAGGGCTGGGCCAGGCCCAAGGCAGGGGCTAGGAACTCAGTCTGGGTCTCCCATGTAGGTGGCAGGGACCCATTTACTTGAGGCATCCTCTGCTGTCTCCCAGTCTACATGCATTAGCAGGAAGCTAGGATCAGAAACAGAGCCAGGAATCAAACCCAGATACTCTGATTTGGGATGCAGGTGTCCCAAACACCATCTTAATGCCTGTGAAATGCCCACCCCTCAGTTGGCTTTTGAACCAAGAACTATAGAAAAGGGAAATGCATGGATCTTCTTACTTGGTTTTATTTTATAAAATATAAACTTTACATCCCTAGGTGTCCAAAAGACTTCTCAAGGGCTGAGAAACTCTGATGCAAGGCTTACTTCTTTACTATCATTTCCAGTGTTTCCTTCTCACTGCAGCCGGAGTGATCTTACTAAACAGTTTGACCCTCCCCCTCCCTTGTTCAGAGTTCTCAAGGGGCTTGTCACTGCTTTCGTCATTTGCTTTTGGGAGTTAGTTTAAGCCCATCTCCACCTCTTCTTTCTATTCTTCTCCAACCAGAAGCTTATGTTGTAATTAAAGCAGATTGCTCACCCACCCTTTTTTTCTTTTTCTTTTTAAAAGACAGATTTATTTATTTTATTTGAAAGGCACTGTTACAGGGAGAGAGATGGGGGGGGGGGGAGAGAGAGAGGGAGAGAGAGAGAGAGTGAGTCTTCCATCCACTGGTTCACACCCCAAATGGCTGCAACGGCTGGAGTTGGGCCAATCCGAAGCCAGGAACCAGGAGCTTCTTCCGGGTCTCCCACGTGGGTGCAGGGGCCCAAGGATTGAGCCATCTTCTACTGCTTTCCCAGGCAATAGCAGAGAGCTGGATCGGAAGTGGAGCAGCAGGAGATTAGATTAGGCACCCATATGGGATGCCGGCACTGCAGGCGGCAGCTTTACCAGCTACACCACAGCACCAGCCCCTCGTCCACCTTTTTCATATGTAATTCTTTGCCCAAGTGTTCTCTCTCTCCTTGCAGTGCTTCAGCTGTTCTCTTAGACAAAACATCTCATCATTTGACATTTGATCAGTAATTTTTTCTAGACAAAACTTTTCATCCTGTGGCACTTGATCAATAATCTTTTTTTAAATAGGAATTAAAAAAAAGATTTATTTATTTATTTGAAAGTCAAAGTTACACAGAGAGAGGAGAGGCAGAGAGAGAGAGAGAGAGACAGACAGACAGAGATAGAGAGGTCTTCCATGCGCTGGTTCACTCCCCAAATGTCCACAACAGCCGGAGTTGTGCCGATCCGAAGCCCGGAGCCAGGAGCTTCTTCCAGGTCTCCCACGTGGGTGCAGGAGCCCAAGGACGTGGGCCATCTTCTACTTCTTTCCCAGGCCATAACAGCTGGATTGGAAGTGGAGCAACCGGGGCTCGAACTGGTGCCCATATGGGATGCCGGCACTGCAGGCAGCAGCTTTACCCGCTACGCCACAGCACTGGCCCCTTGCCCACTTTTTTCACAAGTGATTCTTTGCCTGAGTGTTCTCCCTCTCCCTGCAGAGCTTCAGCTGGCCATTCATTCCCACTGAGGTGGTCATTCTTAGGTTTCTTATTCCATTTTGGTTGTCCAGTGTGTGTCTTGTTTGCCAGGGTGAGTTTTCCTCTGTTCAGTGACCAGGTTGGGTTTAGTTCTTCATTCCCTTTGCTGCACCTGTCTAGGAGCTAACAGCCTGTGGGCTGAGCACATGCTTTCTTCTCTCCTTCCTTGTTCTAGGTGTGGAATGAGGCTTCAAGGACCAGGGAACTGTGGAGGTGAGTAGAGGAGGAGCACAGGCGGATCCACAAAGGAGAGATGGTGCACCAGATAACTGGGAAGGTATCTTGAACACTGCGTTTCTGGCTCTGTTAAGTATGAAAAGAATATTATCCTCTGCCTACCAGCAGGAAACTCCTCCCTGGTTAGAGATGTAAGACTTTACAGTATTGAAATATGAGACATTTTATTAATCAGTTGGGAGCTTAATATAGGAAAGGTTTCCAAACTCAGGGGCAGAACGGTGCAACTAATGAATGTAGCAGGCTGATCGAAGATAAAGCAACAGAGATAGGATCAAACTACTTTATTTTAATTCAGCCTTGATATAACAATGTAGCATGTATGATTTTAGAACTTATAAAAGTTGAAAATAAAATATTTTAATCATTAAGTTATTCAAATTTCTCTCTTTTGGAAACTTTTTCAAAAAAATATTTATTTATTTATTTGAAAGTCAGAGTTATAGAGACAGATCTTCCATCTGCTGGTTTAACCCCTAAATGGCTGCTGTAGCTAGGGTTGGGCCAGGCTGAAGCCAGGAGCCAGGATCTTCATCCAGGTCTTCCATGTGGGTGGTAGGAGCCCACACACTTGGGCCATCTTCTGCTGCTTTCCCAGGCCATTTTTCTGGGAGCAGCTGGGATTCAAACTGGCACCTGCATGGGATACTGATATCATAAGTATTGGCTTTACCTTCTATGCCACAGCACCAGCCCTGAAACCTAACACTTTTATATTGAGATATGACTATCTAAAACTGGAAAAAGAAGAAAAAGAAAAAAGAACTCTAAGCTCCCAATCTCTTGTTGAGAACAGTACAATCTTGCCTATCAAGTAGGTGCTATATTTAATTTCAGTCACTCATGATGGAAAATACCTGTACCCATGTGAAAGTTTGTCACAACATAGAGAATCCCTGTTTTTATTTTTAGGATGATTATGCTTTGAGATACTTGAGAATTCTAGAGCACTGATCTTGCCATCTGTTTTTCAGGTTCATATAGCACTGTTCTGTTTGTTGCTTTTTATTCACTTTTTATTACTAATAATATTAATCAGAAAAACACTATTAATCTCTTTAGTCAGTTTTGAAGTTAAAGAACATTTATTGGAATTCAGTCTTTCCATAATTTGGGGAACATAGTCTACACCTAACATTCAATTCTGGAAATTGATTTTTCTGTAGATAAGTTAATAAGCATTTGTCTTGATACATTCTTTTCTCCAAAAAATTGTTTCAATAAGAAGAAGCAGATAGAGTCATGAGCTGGTCTGTTTGGAGAAGCCCTTGCAGAGGAATATTTACATTTAAATGGATAGGATCTCAGCCCCAGTCTTTTTTTGTGTGTTTTTTTTTTGTTTTTTTTTTTTTTTTTTTGTTTTTGTTTTTGTTTTTTTGACAGGCAGAGTGGACAGTGAGAGAGAGAGACAGAGAGAAAGGTCTTCCTTTGCCGTTGGTTCACCCTCCAATGGCCGCCGCGGCCGGCACGCTGTGGCCGGCGCACCGCGCTGATCCGATGGCAGGAGCCAGGTACTTATCCTGGTCTCCCATGGGGTGCAGGGCCCAAGCACCTGGGCCATCCTCCACTGCACTCCCTGGCCACAGCAGAGAGCTGGCCTGGAAGAGGGGCAACTGGGACAGAATCTGGCGCCCCGACCGGGACTAGAACCCGGTGTGCCAGCGCCACAAGGTGGAGGAGCCGCGGCGCTGGCCAGCCCCAGTCTTAATCTTATTTTTTCAGATGAGATAGGAAAGAATTTTCTGTTATGGTGAAATGTGTATTTCTTTGAACAGTTCAAAAATTTTTTCTATAGTGCATGACCTAACCACATAATGTCACTGTTATCATGTTTTGTTCCTTGTGCAAATTGTTCAGCTGTCTGAAGGCTAAATCACAAATGTGTTTGCAGTAATTTTACTATTCCAAGTGTTCAGTGAACTTTTTTTTTAAGATTTATTTATTTATTTGAAAGTCAGAGTTAGTGGCCGGCGCCGCGGCTCACTAGGCTAATCCTCCGCCTTGCGGCGCCGGCACACCGGGTTCTAGTCCCGGTCGGGGCGCCGGATTCTGTCCCGGTTGCCCCTCTTCCAGGCCAGCCCTCTGCTGTGGCCAGGGAGTGCAGTGGAGGATGGCCCAGGTGCTTGGGCCCTGCACCCCATGGGAGACCAGGAAAAGCACCTGGCTCCTGGCTCCTGCCATCGGATCAGCGCGGTGCGCCGGCCGCAGCGCGCCGGCCGCGGCGGCCATTGGAGGGTGAACCAACGGCAAAGGAAGACCTTTCTCTCTGTCTCTCTCTCTCACTGTCCACTCTGCCTGTCAAAAAAAAAAAAAAAAAAAAAAGAAAGTCAGAGTTAGAGAGAGAAGGAGAGTGAGAGAGATAGAATGAGAGAGAGGTCTTCCATCTGCTGGTTCACTCCCCAATTGGCCGCAACGGCCGGAGCTGTGCCGATCCAAAGCCAGGAGCCAGGAGCTTCTTCCGGGTCTCCCACATGGGTGCAGGGGCCCAAGGACTTGAGCCATCTTCTGCTGCTTTCCCAGGCAGTAACAGAGAGCTGGATCATAAGTGGAGTAGCTGGGACTCGAACTGGTGCCTATATAGGATGCCAGCACTGCAGGTGGCAGCTTTACCCGCTACGCCACAGTGCTGGCCCTAATAACTTTCACCCCATGTGATTGTATCCTTGATCTGTGTCATTTATAAAAACACTGAATTTTTTGGTTTGTTTGTTTCCTAACCATGACAACTGCATTCCAGCGGAATTATTACCTCTGGTCACATGAACATGTCATTTCCTGATGCCATGCGTGTCATAGGTATCTACCTTGTCCAGAAGCTCTCCAGATCCATGAAAATTCTCATGGACACAGCAAATAAACATGGCCAGCTGTGTCATGTACTTTTAATCTATTCTGAATAATTGTGATTGAAAATGCAACAAGTTACTTTAAGTGCTTCATGACCTTTTAAATCCTGTCATTTCTTCCGCACACTAAGTATTGACTTTTTGGTTAGATGTAACGTTGCACCTAATTGCCCTTGTTTAAGGTACATAATTTCTGTTGTGTGCAATATGTTTTGTTATTAATTACTATCTGTGAAAAGTTTTGGGGCCTATTTTTTTCACTTCATACTTAATTGTATTTCAGAGGCATTACACATATCTGCTTTATTCATATTCATACTTTAACCTTGTCAACATTCAACTTGTTTGTTTTTTGTCAAATCGTTTGATTTCCTCATCTCTTTGGAATATTGGTCATAGTTTGTACAGTGGTCGAATGTGTAAAGGCTTTAAATATGTAGAAATACATTTCATTGCCACACACAAAAAATGTGCCATATCTCATTTTTCTTAAACTATACTATCTTTTTCTCCTCTAGCATTTATTTTTTACACTGTTTAGATTGAAGTATAGATATAAGAAATAGCTCATGGGGTTGGCATTGTGGGTTAGCAGGTTATGCCACTGCCTGAGATTTTGACATCTCATGAGTGCTTGTTCGATTCCTGGCTGCTCTACTTCTGATCCAGCTCCCTGCTAATGTGCCTAGGAAAGCAACAGAAGATGGTCCAAGTACTTGGACCTTGATACCCAAGTAGGAGAACTGGATGGAGTTCCAGGCTCCTGGCTTTGGCCTGAGCTGGCCTCAGCTGTTGCAGCCATTGGGGAGTGAACCAGTAGATGGAAGATCTCATTCTCTCTGTTTCTCTCTCTCTCTCTCTCTCTCTCTCTCTCTCTCTCTCTCTCTGTAATTCTGCTTTTCAAATAAATAAAAGTAAATCTTTTTTAAAAAAGAAAGAGTTCTGTGGCTCAGCGGGTTAACGCCCTGGCCTGAAGCACCTGCATTCCATATGGGCACTGGTTCTAGTTCTGGCTGCCCCTCTTCCAATCCAGCTCTCTGCAATGGCCTGGGAAAGCAGTGGAAGATGGCCCAAGTCCTTGGGCCCCTGCACCCACATGGGAGATCCAGAAGAAGCTCCTGGCTTCTGGATTTAGATCGGCGCAGCTCCGGCCGTTGTGGCCATCTGGGGAGTGAACCAGCGGATGGAAGACCTCTCTCTCTGTCTCTACTTCTCTCTATAACTCTGTCTTTCAAATAAAATAAATAAATCTTAAAAAAAAAAGAGTTGGGGCCTGCACTGTGGCATAGCCAGTAAAGCTGCTGCCTACAGCGCTGGCCTCCCATATGGGCTCCAGGTCAAGACCCGGCTGTTCTACCTGATATAGCTCTCTGCTATGACCTGGGAAAGCAGTAGAAGATGGCCCAGGTGCTTGGGCCCCTGCACCTACTTGGGAGTCCTGGAGGAAGCTCCTGGCTCCTGGCTTCGGATCAGCCCAGCTCTGGCTGTTGCAGTCATCTAGGGAGTGAACCCGCAGATGGAGGACCTCTCTGTCTCTGCCTCTCTGTAACTCTGCCTTTCAAAAAAGAAGTCTGCTTTCTTTGGAATAAGCTGAAATCAGTTGTATGAAAGCAATGATATGAGACAACTGACTATAAACCTCCAAGTCTAGGTGATGGATGGGATGTGAAGACCATGGTGAACCATCCTACTCCGATGGGTACAGCTCTATGGGGCTCTAGACATATTTTAACAGATGAGAGTTTGAATTCAGCATTGTTAGACCTCGTGCTTTTTTCTGGCTTTTTAAATTAGATTATTTATTTACTTATTTGAAAGGCAGAGTGTCAGAGAAAGAGGGAGAGTCAGAGATACCTCCCATCTGCTGGTTCACTCCACAAATGGCTACAACAGCCAGGGCTGGGCCAGGCCAAAGCCAGGAACCAGGAACTACATCCTGGATGGCAGGAACCCAGGCACTTAGGCCATCTTCTTTTGCCTTCCCAGGCTCATCAGCAGGGAACTGGATTGGAAGCAGAGCAGCTGGGACTAGAACTGGCACTCTGATATGGGATGCTGGTGTCATAATTGATGGCTTAACGTCCTGTGCCACAGTACCAGCCCCTTTCTTATCTGTGTCCCAGTTATACA